CTCATATGTTTTTTGGGGTGGTTTTTTTGTAGTGTTTTTTTTTTTTCATGAAAAAAAGATAAATGCTGAAATATGTTTAAAGTAAGGCTGCATTATCTATCTCTCGTGGGCTACCCTTATGGAGCTACCCTTATAGTGCAGGAACATATTCATTGACATAATCAGTTTGATCAGTAGACTACAGAGTCCAGTGTTTTAGCTGTGTCTGAAAATAAGCACTTAATGTTTCAGGAGTCTAACAAACCTGGTTACTTCAACTCAGCAATGTTATAAGTAACAGGAACAGACCTTCTTGTTACCTTGTGAGCTCATTTAGTCATTATATGAGGTGTCGTTACTTTTATTAATTAAAAGTAGAATAAAAGAATATTCAAATACTGTCTCTAAAGGCCTTGAGGTTAAATCTACATGTTAATGACATTTTGTTTACTGTTCCGCAATGCTGTGAGAATTGTAATATTATCTGTTCTAAAATTACTCAGAGGAATTGGATTTCAAATAAACCTATTCTAAAAAGAAGCATGAAAACAGAGCTAAAAAGAAGCCATCATCCTATTAGTACCATAAGTTGCCCAATAGCGAGAAATGATTAAACATTTTGACCTTGACAAGTTACAGTAAGAAAGGGGAATAAAGTATATCTATTCCTTATAATCTTTCTGTTTTTCATCAATGGTACAATTTTTACTTATCTTTCATGAAATAATGTTTATTGCACATATTTCTGAAGTGCCATCATATGTAATATTAATTCCTTTAAAAAACGAAAAAAAAGTATTAGTGAACCCTCTTTATGATTTTAGAATGGGAGAGGCTTTCCAGTCAATTATTTATGTGCGATAAGTACTGAAAGCCTTATTATCTCAGAATAATCAATGTTTGGCTGAAGCTCGAGAATGCTAATAACTAATCTTAAAAGTCCTGATCCAGTGTCATTTGAAATAATGGCAGAACTCCCATCAATTTTAAGCAAAGGAGGATGAGGCCAGAGAGTATGGTTTTGAGAGATAGTTTGAGATAATCAGTTGAAAACATCTGTAGAAGAACAGAAGATTTACTTTCACTCTTGCCATAATACAGTATGAAGTATTTCAGCAGACAGGAGTTCTTAACAGTGTGTATCTGTATTTTATGTTGCCTTGGGGAATCTTTTTTATATGTATATATACTGAGCTGGTGTTATTGTCTCTGGGAACAGCAGGATGGCAGCTGAAAAAATTAGGAGCAAACGGGGAAGGAGTAGGCAGGCTCAGTGAAATATTGAAATACCTATCTGTTTTTTTAGCACTCAAGTTTCTTTTTTTCCTTGAATCCCTGAAATATTTTTCTCTCCAGGATATGCTTTCACTCACTCATTCTGGTGGGGCCATTTGTTGTTCTCTCTCTTCAGCAACTCTGATAATTTGCCTACGCCACTGCAGAGCAGCTTGTGGTATGTGGGAGCCAGTTTCCTCCTGGAACATCTGAAAGACAGCGCGGGAAATGAAGGAAGTGACACCATAATGCAAGAAATAGTACCAGCCTTTCAGGATGCCATCTGGTGTAGGGTCTAGTGCAGGCTCAGACTTGTGGGTGCTGTGTCAGCCTGTAGGGCAGGGCTGGACAAAGATGCCAAGGAGGTATTCAAAGACTGCAAGTGAGAAGGAAAGAGGAGTTTCTGCCATTTGGTGAGCATTCCTTTCTCTCAGATGGAGGGCTGCTGTTTTCTCATTTTGCACAAATTATGAAGGGTAGATTTTGGCTGCATTTGGATGAAGTTCTGAAATGTAATTTATTATTGGAAAAAAATCCTCCAAAACTCAACCTGTTTATCCATCCAAGCAAAAAATGCTATCAAAACTTCATTTTAAAGGTTGTTTCTTCTCATTTGCTTATCTACAAAAAAATGGGAAAACCAATAAGGAAGGTAGACATGGTTCTGATGAACACAGCAGTAATTAAAAAAAAAAAGGTAGAGGTGCTTTCTACTGTCTTTTCTGCTGGGGTAAGGTATAGCAAACCTTATTAAAAGTAGGTAGATTTTGTTAAATAGTGCTAATCTGTGACCACACTTGGAGGGTGTTTTTCTGTTTAATAATTGAGTAGACTTATTTTAAATAGAAGTGTTTGTTTTCTGTAGCAAGGGAGCCCTTTCCCAGTTTTTTACTGACAGTGCTGGGTGTCAGTGCTGAGTGGCAAAGCAGAAAAGCTTTCCTTTAGTGAGGAAGAGGCAGCATCAAGAAGGAGCCTGCAGATAAGCAGATATCGCTAAGTAGGGAAGTAGGACAGATACCCCGAGACAGCATCTGGCAGAGTAGAGAAAGAGACATTTAACTCTCCTTTCCAGAGAAAGCCAGACAAGGAACTGTAGGGACCCAGCTCCTAGAAAAGTGCAGAAAGTTCTGAAACTCCATAATATTTAGGTGCTGAGCTCATGACGATTTCAGTCTTAACAAGCACTATATTTAGTTTCACTTATGTTCCTTAATAGAGTCCCAGTCCAATTTCGGAACATAGTGGCCTCAAAGAAACTAGAAAATTTTAGTAATTTGTTGATTTTTCCAATCCAGAATGGCAAAATACTAATCTTGGCAAAGCATATTCGATGGTCCATTTTGGTGTACATACTTACCTATATTTTCATCCATATACTTATATAGTCTTATTTATACTTATAAAATCATAAGAGCAGTGTGGCAAAAAAAACCTGCAAGAGTATTGCTAAGTGATTTAAGAATACATTTTTTTAATAAACTGTCCCCCACCAAAACAGTGAGCCACATTCTCTCATTTCTCATTCAGTCACACATTAAGACAGATTTGACCAAGTATTTTTAGTTGGAGATTTGGAGCGGCTAAAGTAAGAAATCCTCTTAATAAAAATAGGAGCTTTTTTTAAACTATCTTTTATACCAGTGTAATTCCATTGACTTCACAAGATTTATTCCTAATATATTCTGATAGGGAAAGAGTACCGGGTTGTGGGAACTTGAATTTTTCTCCTTTGCTATGTGAGTAACACTGTCACTGTGCTGCAGTCCTTCTAATGAAATAAATATTTTGTATAGCTTTTGCTTTTTGTTAGTTGTTGTTATGCTACAATACATAGGTAAATAAGTAGTAAATATGAATATACAATACAATAATTATGGTTTTCCCAATTATGAAGATAGTTTTCTAGTTTTTGTGAAACATCACAAGTCATCCTGTGTTTTCTGTAGGACTGCAAGGTGAGATGAATATGAAATGGACAGGACAGAAGCACTTTATAAACTTCAGCCATTTGCTTTGAATGACAAACATTAAGCTTCTGTCTTCCAGGGGGAACATTTCTCAGGAAGCTATGTTACCAATAGCTTTCAAATTTCAGTGGTATGCTTTTGTTCTTAAATTAAGCAAGATTTGTAGGGAGAGAGACTGTTTTTTTACTTCTCTTTTATTGGACCAGTACATATTGTTCAAAACACCAGACAAGCTTATAGGTGCAGAAATCCATCTTCAGCTGTGAAAGAGAAGCCAATTTCAAGCCAAGTATAGGCTAGGGACAATTGTTTTGGGTTTAACTTTGTTACACTGATCAGTTGAACAAATGTAAGAGAAAAAAGTGCGTGACATCTTGCAGCAGGTAAGGTTGTTAATGAAGACAGAGGTGATAAGGTTCCGATAAATGTGTCTGAAATAGCTAACAGAGTCTGGGGCTGTTGCTGTTACTAAAAAGAAAATCGAGGCAAGGGAGAAGAAAACTGAACAGCAGAAATCTGCAGAGGTGTGATTCTCCAAATCCAACTGTACAATAAACATTTTGTAAGAGACTGTTTGTGAATCAAAGCCTCACTTTCGCAGGAACACAAGAAGCTGTAGGGGGTCTCTTTCAATATTGCATCTCCAACAGTGCGTGACACGAACCAAGTGCTTGAAAGGTAATTTTAGGGCTTTGGATGCTTAGTAATTTTTTTGAATCTATAAAACATTTGTAAATTTCTATGGTTAGGACAGCGAGCAGTCCAAGGTAGTTACCCTGGACTCTCAGTGATGAAAAATAGGTGCACCAGAGTGCATAACTAGGGTTTAGGTAGTTAACTTCTGCAGTGAACTTCTGACATATGAAGTAAACCTCCTTCAAGTCTCCAGGACTTGAAAACACAATAGGGCCTTGAGCACCAACCCGGGGCTGTCTGCTTTGCCAGGGGATGTTCCCAATAGGCGTTTGGATGTTTGCCTCAGGTTTGGGGGGGGAAGGAAAATGCTGAATGGATGCAAGCCCTGCTGTGCCACTTGGTCTTGGTGCCTCAAGTCAAAGCGGAACCCATCTTATTTAGCCAGAATTAACACAGACACTGTCACTTGAAATTGAGGACTTCCAAGTCCCTAAACCTTAAAAATCTCACCTTGGTGCAGTTTTTAGAAGTGCCTCCATTGCATTAACTTTATTCTAAAACCAAGATAAGATCTTGCCAGAAATCTTACCTTTACAGAGGGGATCGTACTATATTTATCCATGCATTCATTTTCTAGACGTTAAATTCAAATGGAGATTATTCTTCTAAATGTTTGTATAGGTCACTGCTGCTCTTTATTTTTTTATTCTCTGCTAACACAATGCCATTGGTATAGAAGTAGTTTATGCTGGGTTTTTTGGGAGGGGGTTTTAGTATTATTCTCCAGTTTAATGGGAAGTACTAGGAAACCTTAGTAATTTGTCTTTTTTCAAAAGTGAGATTCTGTTCACTGAAAACTGCAGCAAAAAAAAAAAAAGGATGTTCAGTGTTTGACTTCCCTAAGAAACTCATACAGCACTGAGTTTGTGCTCTCAATCTGACCTTTCTTTCATTATATAAGAAAAAAATAATCTTTATGAAAGTCAAGTTGAAGATAAGATCAGCAAGGTGGGCTGGTAATTACATAAAGTGATGTTCAGTCATTAGAGAAAATGTACAGTTGATCCAATGGCTTAGATGTGGGCGAGAAATATGATCTAGCTTTTACAGGTATAAAAGAAAGATGCAACTTTTTCATACATCAGTTTTGGGAACTTATATCCAAGAGTCGAGGACAGCTCAACTTCAAACACCATCCTGCAGTTTCTCTGATTTATTCTTGTTAAACAAGGGAGGTAATATATTTTTAATTTTTTATCACTGTTGAAGGGGAACAATTGCGTATTTTTTCACTTTATTTCCCCTTCTCTCCATTTCATTCTCTTTCTCTTCTCCTTCCATTCTGTCAAAGTTTTTACTTTGAAAATTAACTGAAAGGTTGCTTTGGAACTAAAACATCAGTGCTTGGGGTTAAACTAGTTTTGTAAGCTAGAGAAAACAAGGTTCTAGGATTGACTTGCTAAATGTTAATAATGTGTGATTTCTGTTTGAGTCCAGTAATTTTTTGTTAGTAACTGTGTGTTTTTCTCCTGCTCAATGTTGTTGTGTCAAATATTACACAACCTGTTGTACTAGCACATCTTCTAGAACCTTTAAATTCCCAATCATGATCAAATATGTTAAGAGAAAGGAAAAAAAGATGTTAGTGAAGATTTTTCAGCCTTCAACAGTTTGCAAGCAGATTACTGTGTGCGTGATGTGGGGCTGCAAGTGAAGTTTTGCAGTTGTAGTTCACTGTTGCTGTGACACAGCTGTACCTCATGGCCAAGCACCCCATAAAGAAATGAGCACAATGTGTAGAGCGTTTAACTGCTGTTGGGTATGACAGCACCACCGTCACCCTATGGAAAAATACAGAAGGACATCTCAAGTTTATGCTGAACTCATTAGGTTATTGCATACAATCAGTACAAAGGATGGCCCTTGAACAGAGCTTGCTACCATGTCTGTGTCAGGACATGGCCCACAGAGTTAGACAAGTGATTC